TTTTTACATATTGCAATGATAGTCTCTGAAGATCATGGCGACTCCTAGCGCAACAGCGCGCGTCGTTTCCTCCGGTTTGCAGCAGGTTCACCTGCCACTAGTTAAATTAAGGGAGATTCTAACGACAGCTTGTTGGCTGAGGTCAGGTGAGATACCTAGTGGTATATGACAGTACCAAAGCTTCCCTGGATCGACTCACAGAGTGCTGCTCTTCCACTCATCCCCATGGCCCTCTGGCCAGTCCGGATTTGCCTTGTGCCGTGCTGACTGAACTGTCACATTATGAAACCTCATGCTCAGCATTCCTTGTCTAATTATTGAATAGTTTCGTCTCTCTTTTCTGTCTATTTCATGCTGCCATAGTTTACTCTGGAGTCGGGTGCATGTTTACATTTTACTTAATATTTTTCTGGATGAATACCTGGGACCCTACCCGAAAAAGTTCCAGCTGGAAATAGCAAGGTTTCCATCTTTCTGTGACCCATTTCCAGCAGGTGGTTCATGCTGTATTTCACGGAAGTCTCTGATTTTCTACTCGAAAAATGTATACTTTCTAATTGCCAATTGGAACCAGTAACGTTTCCGTCACTGAAATATACTTTCATGAAAAGTCATCACAAATCGAGTAAACCCATAAATATTTCCGGCTGGAACTTTTTTCCACCCATTTGGATGAAGTCCCCCCTTCTGTAGTAATCGAAGGATCTTCCAGGTGAAAAGAGCTTCCTGAATCCGATAGGTGGAGAGGATTTTTATGGATGATCTCAATCCTTCCACACACTCGGCATCTTGGAGGCAATGAGCGTTACTTCGTTTACCTAAGTTTTACTGGGTCTTCTGACGACGTCAGAATGGGGAAAATACTTCCCCTGACTTTTATCCGAAACTCATAGGGGAAAAGGACGGTCCTAAAAGCTGGATTTTGAGAAGAGATGAGGTTAAAATATGAAATTCGGGTGAAGTTGACATTCTGAATAATTTCGCAGGTTGTATATTTGCGAAGGGTCGGTTTAACCTTCCTCTTTTGTTCCCATTTTAGGTACACCATTTACGTTCGAGTCACCCTGACCTGATATACGTTTCCTATGGTTTGAATAGGACTTCGCTTGAGCTTTTTTGCTGCTTCGTAATTTCTTATAGCAAAAGGATCGATCTCACAAATTTTAATTGTTATTAGCTATATTTGCATACCTAATTATTGTTAACACAGAGTTAATTACAAAATGTTGCAACAAAACCTGATTTCCAAAATTGTCAATTGCGACAAACCTTTATTTGTTATTGACTTTGCAAGGCACATAAAACGTACTTGTGCCCAAATTGCAAATATTTTTTCCACGCGACGTACAGTTAATGCTTATTTTGTTGTCATATGCGGGGTATATAAATAAAAGAGAACCGGATGTACTTTTTCTCCAAAAGTACATCCGGCTCTCTTTTGGTGTATGTTGCACTCAGTCCAACATTGGAGCTCGAGTCATTGCATGGTCTAGGCAGTCGCATAGAAATGACGACGGTAGCAGAGGACGGTATGCGTGGAAAATGTTCTATTGTCTCTAGCAATGGGCAAAAGAACTGCATGCCCAATTCTGCTGAGAACAATCTTCTTTGGGAGAGCTTCGTCTAGAGCCATCCCAGATTTATTGCAGTCCACAGCGAATATGCGTTGTAGGCGGAGGTGTCCAACATATAATATACTGGCACCCAAAATAAACTTTACAAAGTAATGTAGGGCTCGCCCGAGTAGTAGAAGTTGTGGTCGCATTATATTTGTCATTAGCTGAAAAAGTCAACACCTCTTGAACATCATTAGCACGTGCTCGCTAACCTTTGAATGCTGTGCATGTGCCATCTCAGGAATACGTCTAATTAGGTTTTCTCCATGTCATATGTAAGTTCAGATTTCCATAGGCAAAAAAGGGTTGATTCCATCGTGTATTTCATACCGTCTCTGAAAAACATAAGAGATATGCTAAGGCTTATGCAGCAACAAAAGGACGGGGCGAAGAAAATGCTCCAAGAGGGTGTAATGCAGCAAGAAGTGCAACAAGATGGGCTCGTGTAGCCTAAACCAGATTGAATCCACACTTTCCCAAAACTGGCTGAACACTTACTGAGAATCAATACATTTCTCAACGGCAAGTTCTCCAGAAGCTTGTTCCAAGAAGGTTCAAGATGATGTAACTCATGTTGAAAATGCACTAGTATTGCAATCGGGTCAAATAGACCCGAGCATAACAGGAGGGGTATCACAAATATTTACGTAATGCTTTATGGAAATGAGTTCGGCTTTGAGGTCGTAAATACATTCGAAAAGTTAAGAAAAATTAAAAAAAGGAAAAAAATTCTCGATTAAATATATCAAAGTTATATCACGTTGAATGAGTGTTTCGTGTCAAATAGACCCGAACAGAATAGGAGGGTTAAGGATGTCCATGAGGAGAGGGGCATTGCAGATCATGATTAATAGGGTTAATTTTACTCTGAGTACATTCTTTTTCCAGCAAATATGCCCGAATTTAATAGTTGTCCTCACATTCTCTATGGCTGAAGCTTATGCATACTTTGTTCGGTGACTTCCTTCTTGAGGGTCATACAATCAGGCATACTTCAATCAAATCAGTTGGCAGGTGCTAATCCGCTTTGATGAAGGACTCCAGACGACAGAAGATGCTGCTGCACAAGAATTCAGGATAATCCCAGGTCGAATTTCCCCCTTGCATCTTCTGTGCTTTGTGTGTTTGTTTTTTTCCCTAGCGGGACTTTTCTATATTAGTTATATTCCAAATTGCTCAGTGACGACCGGAAGTCGATCTCGGCCAGAGTCTATGGTTACACCAGGGCTCCCCAACTTCTTCAAGCGCGACCACAAAAAATACGATCTTACCATTCAGGATCCAAAGCACGGACTGAAGTTAGACATGCTGCACCACCTATGTGCTAAAATAGCAAAGAAAAGCATGACTTAGCGATTAGGTGCCAGTTCCCAACCCCTAATATTATCTTGGCGACCCCAGGAGTAGCCATCTTCTGAACTACGTTATTGATGTTGTGTTGTAATTGGATTCGTTTGGCGAGCGGAGTAGTTTCTCTGTTTGTATGAACTTCCCATTATATAGCTGGGAATAGGATGAAGCAAAATTTCATTCAGATTTCTGAGAGTAATGATCACATCACCAAGTCGTCAAAGAAATTAGCTTGGAAAGGAAATGTTGATTAACGTCGCGATAGGCTAAGTCATGCACGTATCATACCACGTCAACGTCCTGTCAAGTGCATGGGACGCAATAGGTCGGATTATATCAAGCAATTAGAATAGATTCAAAGAAACGAATGCTTTACTCTGGATTTCGACATATTTATAGTGAACGAGAGGTATGCCAGGTATGCAGAGTTTGTAGCTTGGAGGAACGACTAGGGGAGCTTTTTCATTAGCGTGTAGGATGAGGGAAGAGAGAGAAGGAAGGAGGTGGGCGAGATACAGAGGGATGATTTAGTGGCGAGGCTAGGCTCTGGGACATCATAGGTACCCAGAGGGGTTCCTTTGATGTGCAGTCTGGCCGAGTAATGTGATGTAAGGAGCAGTCTCGTTAATGAAACAGGGCCATCTCGACGCTGCACCCCTGCAACAGGACCCAAGATCCTGGAATATTCAATGGGGTCAGGGTCTGCTTGATGCAGAATGGGATACACGCGGATCCCTCATTCCTGCGAACCAAAAGATCTCCAAGCGAAGACCCAACAACTGAGGAGGAGGAGCAGAAGGGGTCCTAGAAGGCAGCGGGTGCAGTGCTGCGTGGGCTGAGTCCGAGCAGAGGAAGCGGGGGACACTACTTGTATAGGGATTTAACTATAGGCTTTTATCCCTTTGGTGGTCTCTGCTCTTGTATTTGTGAGGTGTATTGTGTTTGTGAATTGTGAACGGAATATCGGGATCGTTAATAAGTGAAACCTTTTTTTTTATATATAAGCTACCACGGGGTTTTCTTTCTGAGCTTGCCGTGGCGAACCCTCTGCTAAAAACAATCCTCACCACGCAACAGACATAAAAATTTTCCTTTTATTGTGAACTCATCATCTCGTTAGGCACGTCCATACCAGGTTTCAGCTTTCCATGTCTCTCCGTTTTATTCAAGCAAAAATAATAATATAGATGGGGAATGAGTAACGGAAAATGGAAGGCAAGAGAAGCAAAAAAAAAGCCATAGAATGGCTAGGAATTGAATCCGCCCCTGCTGATAGACGGTCAGGTGTACTACCACTACACCCCCGAAACTGGGACATCTACCAAATTCCCTGGATGACATCCTAATCCGTCACAATATATATCTTTAAAACCTCCCCCCCAAAAAAAATGTGTACCCCCAGGGCATGGACCTTCAAAATGGGATTTTTTCTGACCTCTGCATCCCAGAAGGTTGTACACATGGTTCAAAGTCTAAAGATTGGGAAGATCTTGCATCAATATTAATCGCAGTCAGTCAGTGCTAGCAGATGTATATAATCTATGATATGTATCAAACAAACGGGAAGCCCGTTTGTTCGATGCTATGGTCGCGCCTTCGGCGCTTCATTACCTTGGATAGTGATTAATTCATTAAATTTTTGTGAAATGAGAAACACGTATTTATAGTACGTCCCCATTGAAATACGTGACTTATGGGGTCGAAATGCTTCATTTCTATTTTAAAATCTTTATTTTTATAATTTTATGTGTAAATAACTTGAAATATTTTCCAATGTGACAAGAATTTTGAAAGAGTCTAGGCTCTCAATTTTGAAAGAGAAAATGTCCTATGGGACATTTTTGTAAGAGTGGAGAATACATTTTGAAATACTTATCTCTAATAATCTACGCTAAGGGAACATATTTAAAATATAGCATTTTTATGTACTCAGCTTTCAAACAGGTACTTTTGAATGAAGTTTTAATTGTTGGTCTCTGTTTCGTTAGATAAAAACAAAGGAAAATGGGACTGAAACAAGTACCATAATGGGTTTCAGCGACAATTTTTTTCCTTTTGATATGTAGACCCAGGGAACTCCATGCCACCCAGTTTCAGCCTCATACGCTTCCGCTTTTTGCTGACGGAAAAAAAAATATTTGAAAAGCGACCCACTCAAAAGCTGTTCTCCTAGGATAAGCACTAAAAAAGTTGAATTTTTCCTTAAATCCACCTCACTTCCGTTATGCGTTCGCCAGCGACTGTTCTATTTCTGGCAGCTACTGTAGGATATGAAAAATTCTTCGAAAACGTTACGTCCACAAAAAATATGAACCCCAAAAAGCATTAGAAAATTTGATATTTGACATTTGGGCTCAGTGCGTCAACGGTCACGTTCTTACTAAGTTTCAGCTTTCCATGTGTCTCCGTTTCATTGAATCAAAGAGAATTATTTGAAAATATGTTCCCCGAAAGGTGTGCCTTCATAGCATGCATCACAAAAGTAGAACTTTTCCCATAAATGGGGGAAAAGTTCTATTTTAGCATGCGAATAGCTACTTATGTCAATCACCCAACTACTCACTATCGTAAATATATACTACTAGAGAGTTGTTTGCCCGAAGCCAAACAATCTCGCTATGGTCGAAGCCATTAATTTGGATATTAATTCATTTATTCCTTGCGGAATGGCAAAACACGTATCTAAAGTACGTTCCGATTGAAATATGTTTTATATGGGGACGAACGTCGTCATTTCTATAAAATTCATTACTTCCATTACTTCTGGAGTGCCTAACTCGAAATCTATTCATGTGTCCCTTTATGTAAGGGTGGAGAATACATTTTGAAATACTTCCCTCCAATGATCTATGCTAATGGGGCCTATATCAAGAGTAGGATTTTTCTGTATTCAGCCATCAAATATGTATTTTTTTTTAATCAGGAAAATGGAAATTTTAAAAAGTGACATGTTGGGTTTTAACGAAAAATTCGTTCCCTCTCAAATGTAGACTCAGGGAACTCAATGCTACCCAGTTTCAGACATATACGTTTTCCTTTTTTACTGTTGGTAAAAACTGTATTTGGAAAGCGACCCACCCGAAAGCTGTGCTCTGAGGAGACGCGCAACAAATGTTTTTTTGACGTTTGAGTGCGTTAACGATCAGGTTCTTGCCAAGTTTCAGCTTTTCATGTGTCTCCCAAAAGGTACATGCATAGCAAGTTTCTGATCACTCCAAACTCACTATGGTATTATAGGTATATGGTATTTTATGATATTATAGGATTATCCAAGGTAATGGAGCGACGAAGGCGCTCCATTACCTTGGATAATCCTATAATCCTACTATAATCTATGCTAAGGTCGAATTTCAAAAGTAGGATTTTTCCTGTACTCAGCCACCAAACTGGTACTTCTGAGGGAATCTTAACTTTTCTGTCTTTGATTTTTTGAATAAAAAAAAATGAAGAAAATGACATTGAAGAAAGTGCTCTGATGAGTTTTAAAGAAATTTTTAAAATTATTTTGAAATCAGACTCAGGGGACTCCATGCCACCCAGTTTCATTCTGATTAGTTTCCCCTTTTTACTGGCGGAAAAAAAGTATTTGGAAAAGCGACTCACCCAAAACCCATGCTCTGAGGAGAAGCACAAATAAAATTGAATTTTTCCTTAAATCAACATCAAGTCCGGCTATTTTTCTATTTCTGCCCGATAATGTTGGATATGAAAAATTCATTGAAAACGTTATGTTCCCAATAAATATGAACCCCAAGTTTGACGTTTGATAGTTGAGCTCAGTGCGATAATGGTCACGTTTTTGCCAATTTTCAGCATTCCATGTGTCCCCATTGGATTGAAGCAAACCCGTGTGGCACAGCAACGTTGAATAAACGTTGAATATACGACCTGGAGACGTTGAGTAAACGTCGAGAGTACACGTAGACTCGACATGGAAATGGGAATATCATCTACGTAGAATATAGGTAGATTAGTCAACGTTGAGTAAACGTTGAGAATATACGTAGACTCCACGTAGAAATGGGAATATGTTCTACATGGATAAAACGTAGATTTGTACAACTGGCATAAAGATTGGCATTTTTGGCGTCAACGGATAGAAATTATTCGAGAAGCGGTAATACTCCATCCAATCATGCGCGGAAAAGGAACATTTTATGACTCCGCATTGAACGACTGTCAAATTTTTTTCCAGAGCAACTTGATGCATGAAACTTTCAGGAAGTAAATTTTATGGTGTTTCCAATGTGAGACGCAAACATCACAAGCCTAGATCATCCACAGCGAGTTTTGTTAAGCGGGCGCGTCTTCTTGGGGCCGCCCGGTATTTTTCCCTCCAGAGCTTAGGTTCCAAATTTACCTGGGTATCTGCCGTCCTTCATTCTTCTTCTAAGCATAGTTCCATGCTCCCATCAAATGCCTCAAGCAGACTCCCATCCAGGCTGGCTCTGAAAAGTGGCATTCATACAGTAAGTTGCATGAATCCGGAAATACTTGGATTAGGGCTGCAATTGTAAGATTCAAGCCTAAAATGTTCCATCTTCCAATTCCTCAATTTTTCAGTCAACCCCGTCTTCTTATGCAGTATGGTGGTCCAATTAATATTACTTCCCGCCATTTAATTATCCCTTTCATGCTTTTGGAGGGTTTCACAAATATCGAATCTTCATTCTGACTACGTTACTTCCGGAATATCAGCGCTTGACCTCTAAGACTAAATATTAAACACTTTTATAGTCATGCTATGTCCTAGTTTCGCTCTCCTATTTGTCGAGAACAATTGTATTTGTAAAAGTGGAAATATAAGTATTTACATTTATTTTAAAGAATGGGTTCACAATTGTGAACCCATTCACATATTGTGTAATTTCGCCTCTATAGAGCAGGAACCGTCGCAATATATAGGGTGTCCATAAAAAAAATTACACTTGTGAATTTATTTGAGACTATGTAATGACTCACTGGGTGTCGGATTCTATCGTGTGATGCGCCTCTATCCTCCTCTCCGGAGACATGCTGTCAGGCGATCCTATGAGATCTTGGGCTCTGTTCGACTCGGATGGAATCCCTGATGTCCGTCCCCTCGTACGATCTTCGAACTCCAGATTAACAAGAGAGACGATCTTTGAAGCAGAGGGAAGTTCCCATGACCCTGTGTTAGAATTTTTGAATAAAAAATTCCAGCTTAGAACACCAGACGTATGTACCATACATTTTCAGTGTTGACTGTACTGCCAAGGAATAATTTATTGGCTTTTTTTGTTATCGAGGCTTTTTGGCATGTAAGAAAGGATGCTTTGTCGCTTGCTGTATAATGCTGAAACATCACAGAAACACCTAAAGTCACTCCTGCAACCCAACCTACAATTAATAGATCCTGCAACAAAAGTTCTGGAATTATAGTTCTGGGACTGATTGATATTAACTAGCAAGGGCCCAATAGATAATAGCAACTATTAAATATCGTTCATTCATTGTAAGTGTAATGAATCAACTAATTTTGTGCTGGGATCGCATTGTTATATAATGCTAATGCTGAGATAACTATTTGATAACTATATCTAGAACCAGAGCGATAGCTATAGCAGATGGGTTAAGATCTGATCATTTCTTGAGTGGTGTTTGCAAAAACTGTTCATATTCATCCTTTGGGCCTTTAATGATAACTCCACTTGTAGGCGGCTCTGACGTGATCGTATATTATTCCTTATCACTAACAGAACGCCAGCGTGTTCGAGGTTAAAATGACTCCTTAGACTCCTTGTAGTAATATACTGAATTTATTATATAATTACTGTTAGTCGCTGACAACCAGGATAGGATGAGGACAATGTTGACAAGAATCAGAAATGGGATATTGAAGCCGTATTCGAACTTCTATTGCGTACAAAAGTGACTGAATAAGAGATACAAAATATCCTATACCTGTGTGTTTATTAACGTGGGGTGGGTCGATGTCCTACACTCACTCTCAACTCTCGACTCGATGTTTTTCCTCTCCGCTCACATACACCGCAACTCACATCATCCGCCAACTCACTCTTTTATTGCTCGCGCAGTCTTTTATAACTCTTTCTTCGGGACATGCACGAAAGCACATCCGTCAGACCCGAATATCAAGGTGTTTCGTAAAGGGTACCTCCTACATTTCCCCCCATGCTAAGCCCTTTTCCGGGGGTTCCGCAGGATTGAAATTCTGCAGCCTACGTAACATATTTGGAATTCTATCCTGGATACATTATTTATATCTTGAATCTGAGGATAGGCACATCAAGAAACATAAGTACAAAGAGCATAACCGACCTATCCCTATTTCATAGTGGTTATAAGTCCACTAAGGGCTTATATGAAAACAATATTAGCACACATTTACACATTGAAGTTCTACACACGCACTACATATTCAATTTAGTTGAATTAACATGTGGGCCATTTGATAATATGTCAATTTGGAGCAATGCTCTCAGTTCAATGTCTGGTGATCCCAGAGTTGGTCATCCAAGGCTTCCTGTCTTGTCAAGATTTCCTCACAGTTGTTGCATTCATCTGTTTCCCGCCATGTCAGGTTGTCCGATTATGTGTCATCCTCTACTCCTCAGCAACTCATCCGTAATGTAACCGTCACCTGCATGTAGAAAGTACTTCAGTCCTTTTCGCTTAGACTAGAAACACGCGATAATGCAATTAAATTGGTCACCCAGGTTGGACAGAACACAAAAACCTGTGTTCTCATTTAAAATATTTATTCATAAAATAAATGGGAACTCTTTCGGGTTTAAATGGACATCTCGTTGCAATATTGCACGCCTCCACTGTCTCCTTTTTATTATTTACTTCGAACTGCTCAATCGTAATTGGTAAATCTGTGCCATCGTGTCGAACCTGTCTCCTCTCTTGGGCAACAATATGGTCACTGAAAACTCATAGGTTCATTCCCACAAACCAAGGAATATATTGCTTGTGATATCAGGAATACATATTGATAACGCATAAGGCATACACATCGACATATATGGACAACAATGAACGACTTGGCATGTCAACATCTTAGCCCACCAGGTTCGAAGGCGAGGGCGCAGCGATGTCTTCAGAAAATGCAAGGCTAATAAATTATTGTATTTAAAAGATAGTTCACCACAATGGTCAAATGTGGAGACTCGAGCGGGTGACGATCTTTGTGAATCCGACTCACTTTTAAAATATTCTTAATTATTTCATGTTCCTTTACCATTTAAGAATTTTTTTTTTAAAGATCCAGCCTGTGTGACTTCTAATTGAAAACAAATGAGTAGCTTCTCTCTTTTATATGGCCTTCTTAAGAGAAAAATATAAATAAAATAAAAAAACGAGAGAAAAAGAATATGTATGGCACCATGACGAGGCACGATTTTCTTGCTCCGCTATTCCCTTCCACCGCAAAATCGTGCTAAACTCAGAAGTACAGCAGGACGTCTGGTGGAGATAAGCAGTTTGTGAAATAAAGGCACCTGGACAGCAGTCATGAGAGCGGGAGTGAGGGACCAATCCGTTCCCCAAGCTCAAGCATCCAGCGTCCCGGAAGAAAAGGTACATGGTTATGTCAGGAGCAAACCTGGAAATACTGGAACCAGGATCAAGGAATCTCGTAAGCAAAGAAAAAAAAAATATATATATATATATATTACCAACTGAATTTTCACTGAGTCGTTTTCATAGCTACACCTCATGGGAATTTTGCCAAAGTCGACAAGGAATATGGACGTCGTTCAATGATGAGGTTATTATTTTATGTATACATGTATTTTCTTTTTTTTTTGATTGGGTAATAGAACTCAACTACGCCAAGGGACCTGCGCCTCCATGTCAGAGGAAAGCTCAGTGATTTGTATAGGGTGCAACGTGTTGTTTCTTTGCGGTAACTGAACCGTATAACCACTATGAAAAGGCCGTAATATGACTATTCCTCCGTGACCTCCACCTTTTGTAGATAATATAAGCTAAGCCCAACAAGAAGATAAAGGATAAGACAATTACAATTGTGAGGATATATGGGCTATGGGTGTGATAATGGTCTGAAAGGCGTGTCAACATATCGGTTCCTTCTTGCTGTTCCTCTTGAAAACGTTGTATTAAGGCCTTTACGGTTTGATCTTTGGCTTCTGCATCGAACCAAGATTGTTTGGCACGGGCCATTTCCTTTTGCACCTGCACGCGCCGAGACTGAAAAGTAATGAAGCTTCGACGGATTTGTTCCTCATCTTCTTCAGTGATGAGGTTGAGGGTGGGAATAACAATCATGGAGATATTTTCAAATCTTGATGTAGTTCCGATTGGACCTTCCACGTTTGCTCGTAAGGAAAATGCGTTATGACGCAAAGTGCAACCTTCCCGTAAAGTAAGAATACCCTGTTCAGCTATTTTGAGCTTTTGTAAGTTTTGGTGGGGACAACTCACATCATTTTTTCAAGTTTTATTATAATTTATTTGGAAGATTTCTAAGTTCCCTTCCTAAATCCAAATCCTTCCCTTACCAATCTTCTTTCTCTCCGATTTCCTCTTTTGATCCCCAAGACTCCTTTCTACGGCGCTCGGCAAATGAACGCCACATGTATTCAAGTTCAGGTTCTGTCATGATCGCCCTCAAATCCTTAGTTACAGGTTCCCTAGAGCGGAGAGGTATCGGTGTGTATCTTGTTGCACCAGCGGGAGTGTATCTTCTTCCCTTTGTAAATGTAGAGGTATATGTTCGGTTTCATCACTTTCCCTCTGCGCCGAACCTCGCCGCGAAAAGATATTGGACAGTCTCCGTCTAATTTGTCCCAATCCCCCTAAAGGTTGATCGTGCCGTTGGGGTGTCTCCTGGCGTAATACATCAGTATAACTAGCTTCATTCATCGCGGCAGGGTAAGACCTGAATTCAGTTGGACTTTCCCACAAGTGAGGTACTAATATGGAGATCTCAAGCCCTCTTTCACCGTATCGCGCCCCCGACCTATGAATTCTAGTTGGCACTTCAGATTCCCTCTCTACTACGGACCTAGTAAACCCCCTGTGGACAGGAGTTTGAGCGGGTGCTGGCATTTCAGCCGTCGGCGGTATCGACAGAATACTTCCTCCGACTGGTAGTGGTATCGCGAACGGGAACGCCTCCTGACTGAAATTGGTGAGGTCAAGCGTACCTGTTCTTGGGTTCCACATTTCCAACCCACGTGAGGGTCCTATCTTCTCTACCTCGTTCTCTGGAGGTTTTACCGTCTTCTCATCTGGTCTAGCATAAAGGCCCTGAGGTTTAACATAAGGGGCGGCCTTATTTATGTGGATCCTTCGAGTACCCAATCCCGATCCTATCTCTTCTACTTCTAAATTTGCCGGTGGGTATTTTCGAATTATTCGATATGGACCAACATATTTCGGTAGGAACTTTGCGGTTTGTCCAGGTTTGGGCGGTTTTTCATTTTTAATCAAAACCCAATCTCCCGCTTCGAACGTGGATTCACTGACTTTATTCTTCTGATTATAATATTTTTGCCTTTGTTCTGCTTGATGTTGTAACTGCTCTCTCGCGTGTACATATGACTCTTTTAAGTCCTCCTGCATTTGCTCTGTCCAAGATAGGTTTTCTTTATATCTGGGTGGAGATGGTGCCAACAACGCATCCTCGGGTAGACGCATCTCTCTACCGTACAGGAGATAAAACTGGGTTTGACCGGTACTCTTATGTAATGTTGACCGGTAGGCCATCAGAATCATGGGAAGATATCTCTCCCATTCGTCCTGTTTTTCGTGGATGAACTTTGCCAGAGATTCTTTCAAAGTACGGTGATCCCGTTCCACCGTACCATTTGACTGAGGGGTATAGGCACTGGTATAAATCCTTTTCACATGACATGAAGAGCACAATTCCCGAAATATTTCTGAGGTGAAATTCGCACCTAAGTCTGTCGTGAGATATTTTGGTGTTCCGTGCCTCGCAATGAAATGTATAAATGTGGAGGCAACCGTAGATGCCATCTGGTTGGGCATTGGGAGCGCCTCATAGTAACGAGTGAGATGGTCGATCACTGATAGGATATATCGGTTGCCCTTCTGCGATACAGGTAAGGGTCCAACCACGTCTACAGAAATGGCCTCAAAAGGTTCTCTTGGGACTGTTGTCAATGTTAATGGAACAGGACGATGCTACGGATGGAACCGCATTTGTTGGCAAAAGTGGCATTGGCGTACGTGCTGGTCCACGTCTGCCTGCATTCCTGCCCAATATACCCTACTTTTCATTTTCTGGTATGACTTGTCTGCACCAAAATGTCCTGCCCACGGAGTCGTATGGAACATTTTTACGACCTCTGTTCTCAACGTTTTAGGAATGACAGCGCGATGACAGGTCCGAATTTCGTATCCAAGTTAACTTCTAGATGTAGGAAATATCGTTGGAGATACTCATCCTTCCTCTGTTCTTCGGCCAAAATAGCTTCGTCTAGGATTGGGTCATATTCTACTGCTTCTTCTGGACTTTCATCCCGTTGGATGGCTCCAATCGTCTCAGTATTTCCCTCAGCTGATGAACAATTTCTACTCGAAGCATCAACATGTGGGAGAGAGGTGCCTGAGGTATAATCAACCGAGTATTCATAGGGTGCCAGTGCCAGACTCCATCTCTGCAGTCTAGCTGACCGGCAAAGGTTGCTTCCTTCCAGAATATATTTAAGAGGGCGATGATCAGTTCTGACCCAGAAATGCTTTGGTTGCAAAAATATATGGAAGGTTTTGATCCCAAATAACACAGCCAGCCCTTCCTTTTATTCTACTTAAGGCATCGACATGTGGGAGGGAGGTGCCTGAAGTATAGTCAACCGAGTATTCATAGGGTGCCAGTGCCAGACTCCATCTCTGCAGTCTAGCTGACTGGCAAAGGTTATTCCCTTCTAGTATATATTTAATGGTGCGATGGTCAGTTCGGATCCAGAAATGCTTTGGCTGCAAAAATATATGGAAGGTTTTGATCCCAAATAACACAGCTAGCCCTTCCTTTTCCGTTACTGTATAGTTGACTTCTGCAGGCATCAACTGTCTCGAGGCATATGCAATGGGGTGTTCGGCCTTCCCGTCTGGGTCATCGAACACTTGAGATAAAACGACACCAAGTGCAAATGCACTTGCATCGGTAGTAAGAATGAATTCTCTGTCGGTATCTGGCGATTTCAGTACTGGGGGTGAAACTAAAGCTCCCTTCAATGTCTGAAATGAGCGTTCAGCTTCTTTGGTCCAGAGAAACGATTGATGTTTCTTCAGAAGCTGTGTCAGTCCTCTAGCCTTTCCTGCGAAATCCGGAATATGCCTTCAGAAGAAACTGGCAAGTCCATAGAATTGACGGACCGCCTTTTGATTAGTGGGTCGAGGATATTGCTGCACACTCGCGAGCTTCTTTGGGTCCGGACGAATCCCATCTGATGAGATTACGTGTCCCAGGTACTCACAGGATGTTCGAAAGAAATTGCATTTCTTGGGATTGAGTTTCAGATTAACTGTAGCTAATCTGTCGAACACTCGCTGCAGAAGTTCATAATGCTCCTCCTGGGTCTTGGACATCACAAGAATGTCATCCAGGTAGCATATCACCCCCGGTATGCCTCTCAGCACTTTTTCCATTACCATACAGAAAAAGGCAGGAGCAGTTCTAATCCCGAAAGGCATAACATTGAACTCGTATAGTCCAAATGTTGTGCAGAAGGCTGTTTTACGGCGATCCTCCTCTCGGATCACCAATTGATGGTACCCGGACTTCANCGACCTCTCTGATAGATTCGTTGGAAGGGTCGGCCCTCCCTCAGTGGAGATGATTGCCATGAATCGATTGTTCTTGACATCGTAGCTTCGAAGGGACAGTTTCGGGCGAAATGTCCTAACTGACCGCAGGCAAAGCAGGTTACAGGTAATCCCACATTGCCACGCGAGGAAGGCTGAGGGCATTGCCGTGCAATGTGTCCTCTCCTTCCACATGTCCAGCACTCAGCATTAAAAGCGCCTGTTCCCCCCCTTTCGTTATTCGCTTTTGTCCCTGGCATCTGCGCTATATTAAGAACCCTGACCAACCTCTCTACAATGTCTTCCGCGAGACATCCAACAGGCTCTATTTTTGGCGGATCACTCACTTTTGCTATACTGTGAGGAGTATCCTGGCATAGCTCCATATTACGTTCGGCATTACGAAATGTCGCAGAGAACAGCATGGATACTGACATTCTGGTTGACACGAGGCGATCTTGAAATCGAGTCACTTTTGTTTCTTCATCTATTGGGTAGGAAAGAAAGTCTTGCAACACTTTCTAAAACTATTTATGAAAATTTTCATTGGAATGATGGGCGGGGCTTTGCATTTGGATATGCTGGAATGTTCTCGAAGCTTCTGCCCTCGGGGTATATAAGGCGGCTTCTGCCATTAGTTGGCAGCCATGGCTCCAATCGAAAGAGCAACTCTTCGCCCCATCGTCTACTACGAGTTCCTCCAAGGACACTGCGAGAGCCGCCGCGGACATCTGCGCTGCATTCAAGGGCAACGTCGTCCACTATTCCACGGTGTCTCGATGGCTCAAACGCTTCGTATATGGCGACACGACCTTCGGAGATCGACCACGCTCAGGACGTCCATATACAGTCGATGACGAAGCCTTGCGGAACGCCTTCAACGCGAAGCCGAACGCCACCACTCCCGAATTGGCGACTACACTTGGAGTCACCCATATAACCATCGGCAACCATCGTAACGACCTCGGCTATCGGAAGGTTTACTCGACATGGGTCCCTCATCGGCTCAGCGACTCTGACAAAGCAAGCCGTGTCAGAGTCTGCGAATCACTGCTCCTTCGTCCGCACGGAAAGGACCTTCTGAAGGAAATCGTTACTGGAGATGAGAGCTGGGTCCTCGACGTCAACCATACTCGCAAGAGTCAGTGGCTTCCACGAGGAGAATTGCCGCCACATGAACCGAAACCAGGGTTCCATGAGAAGAAGGTTCTTTTCTGCTGTTGGTGTGATTCAGAAGGAATGTTGTACTATGAGCTCCTGCCCACCGGTACCACCGTGACTGCCGTCGTCTACGCTGCTCGACTTCAGAAGTTGGCTGGCGTCATTCAAAAAGAGCGTCCCAAACGCGACAAAGTTCTCCTGCATGACGACGCTCGTCCACATGTTGCGAAGATGACTCGCCAGACGATTTCGGAACTGGACTGGGAAGTTTTACCACATTCAGCGTATTCTCCGGACTTGGCCCCTTCCGACTATCACTTGTTCCGGGCCCTCATGAATCACCTGCGTGACGAGGCCTTCGACGATCGAGCACAGCTCGAAAATATTGTCGGCCGTTTCTTCGCTTCGCAATCGCCAGAGTTTTTGTCAAAGGGCATCGAGCAGTTACCCGTGCGTTGGGAGCATGTCATAGACAACAATGGTCATTACATTGTAG